GTATATCGGTCTGACTGGTCCTGGGCCTATTTACCACAATGAAACCATTTGCCGTATGGCCGTACTCAGAAGTTAAATACTCGTTCTCGGAGACCCGTTCTTGTACTCGGAGGTCAAGTACTCGTACTCGGCAACCTAAGTACTCGGCATTTGGAAAAAGTACTCGACTACAACACTGTAAACACCATGTGGAAAGAAATCTCTTCTTGGAAGAAGTGTGGTTCTGAAAAACCGGTTGGTTGAGTGTATAACTCGACGTTTCGGACAGTGTGCTTTATAGTCAGACTTGTTTACAATCGACGCCCTGTTTACGGGATCTACTAGGACCGCTGGATTTATCCAAACTAGTTCGGTCAATTTACGACAAAACAGGCCTTGACCTAGAAGAAATTGAAATAGAACTTATTTTAACACTCTCACACAAAGAAAAAATAAAAGGTTAACATACTAAAAAAAATAATTTTGCGAGTGGAAAAGCGCCCCGTGTTGGCTGATATTTTTTGTAACGCGTTAACGTCTAGACATGTCTGTGCAAGATAATTCAGTGTTATTGTGTCACAAGCAATTGAGACGATCAGTCAGGATCTCAGCAAGTGGAAACAGTGAACTTATCACTTGCAAAGATCCACGGAAAATAGAGACAGCAGAGAGCGCTAGCAACTGACTTTAAAATCACACGATCAGTTCATCACATTTGAGATGGAAAATATATTTTGCACATTATTACCTTAAAACTATATTTTAAACAATTTTAAGACACAAACAGTGACGACAGAAAATGCTTGAGATTCCACATAAATCTACTGGAAAAGTTCAATCAATTTATTTTCACTTGATCCATATATAAAACCAAATATTATAACAGGAATTAATGCCAGGAGACGATGTCGGTTGAATTTCAGCCCTCGGGTTATAAGGTATCATTGCGGAAGCACACATCTCTGTCGCTTCAAATGTGAAACAGTTGATCCGTAAATGTAAGACTAAATGTGGATTTTCTTGACATTGACTTTCGAATTATTAGAAGTAAACAATATGAAACAATAAAGTTTACAATTTCCGGATGAAACTGTCCATTTAAACGACTGTTTGTTGCACAGGTGGAGAGCTTGGAAGCACGACACTATTTATTGTGTGAATACTATAAACAAAGCTACAATTCCAACACAAAGAGGCAGAAAACGCAATGGGAAGACAGTTTTAGACTTGGTTATACAAAGTTTGAGGTTAACTTAGTGGCGTAACGAGCAATGTTGATGATTGGCCAGGGAGGGATATCACTAAGTGGAAACAGTGCACTTGGTACTGACTAGCCCCATAAATGTGGCTGAAATCCTGGACGACCTCCGTATTCCACGGTTCAGCCACAAAACTCCATAAAGTGTATGAGGAAATCAAGATTGGAATTATTTTTGTCACTTGATAATCACCCAATACATAAGTATGACTGCTTATTAGCCAAAGAAACCATTGAATTCCGCACCTTTGGAGGCCTAGTTATCCTGTAATTATCGATGGTAGTTACCTGTCATTCAGTAACCGTCGGTCTGAAGTGCGCCCGCATGCGTGCGTTGTTGACCAGAATTGAATAACAGGTAACAGCCATCAATGTGCATGTTGTTAAAGTACGTTGGAAGTTTCTTCATCAGTACTAATAACAACGCTTGCAGCTCTTCCCCCTTGGATTCATTGCACAAAGGCATCGAGGCTTGCGATGTTCTTTGCATGTCCATTTGTTATTCATATAAAACCACATTTCAATGAATCGACTAAATCTGAGCTCTTTAAAACTATATAATTTAAACTTTAAAAAGTGGGAACTTAGTTTCAATCAATTTCTGCTGAAAATTAAAGTTTTGAGTTCTTCACAAATAAAAAGGAAAAAAAAAAAGGTTTCTAACTTTAAAATACTGTAGGAATTACTAATTTATTGTAGAACATTATGGTTTTTGAAAAATGTTAAAGTTATTGTGTAGTTTTCCCTTATATCGTCAAAACGATAAATAAAAGATATTTTTCCTAAGACTCCACGATATCTAGTTTCTCTTCTCACAACTTCTGCTTCTGGACGGCAGTCGCAAAGCCAAGTCGGTTGTTTCCAAAGTCAAATTCTGCATAGTACACCCTTAGGAAGGGATCGCCCATTATGAACAGAGGTGAGAATTCGTCGGGTGCGAAGGCTGTGAAACAGACGTTGCCAGGATTCTGCCAAATAAAAATAGAAAGGCACAAAGGAGGAATACATGTTAAGGAAGGAATACATGTTACCCGGAACAAAATGTACTAACAACATTGCTATACACTTTCAAAAATGTGCGTGAACAATTAAAAAAACTTAATTCCCTTACTCAAAAAAATAAAGTGCAGGTCTATTCCTAAAATAGTCTCAATATAACAGTATTGTTCTCGGGGGTCCGCCCTTGAATTTGACTTGTTAGGCCTAGGCAAAGGGACCGTTTTATTCGTGAGAGGGGCACTGTTGCTTTTGATGGCCAGTTCAGTGACCATTTTATTTGCGTGAGGAGCACTATTATTTTTTACAGGCCAGTTTTCCATCTTGAGACGGTGACAGTTTTAATGTTGCAAACGGGGCACTAATTGCACTTTTGAGGGGCAGTTTTCCATCTCGATGAGTTTTTGTGAGGGGAGCACTATTGTTTTGATGGCCAATTTTTCATCTCGAGAGGGACACAATTTTATTATTGCAAGAGGGGTGTTTGTGCTTTCGAGGGATAGTTTCACAATTTTCTCTTCTTTCACACTGACGGAGGGTGCCTTTTTTGAGCAATTGCCCTTTTTTTGGTGGTGTACCCCCCCCCCCCCCAGTTTGATAAGCGTTCCGCCGCCGCTGTACAGTGTGTCTCAAAAATAAAACAGAATGCCAGACGTAGAAGGTGTAACCAACATAGCTAATATAGGTATGGTTTGAAAGATACGCCTTTCAACTTTAAAACGAGACATCAAGCGTCCAAAACTGAAAATTTTTGACAGAGTTATGAGTAATGTTCCACGACAGGTCAAATTGACAAAATTTTAAAATGCGGACATATACATACAGTAATATAAATAAAACAGAAATACAACTATATTAAAACATGTACCAAAAAGAGGGAAAACAGGCACACACACAAAATCAATTAGAGTAGAATGGAAATGAAAAACACACGAGCACGTGCAAACATTATTCCACTGACTGGTCATCGACTGTTGGACTAGTCAAGTCAATTTCATGGGCGACATTCATATGTGTTTAATTGTCAATATCGGAAATCACCGACCACGTCTATAATAAAGTAAATTGACGTGACTTTTCGTAATAAAGTTTAACCACTTAAACTGGTCTTTTCCAATTTAATCATATCTATTCACTTATAAGTAAATCCCAGAAAATCAGGGCCTAACGAGTATCATGTTGGTTAAGCATCGGCCATATACACTCACCATCACTACGTATTCTTTCGGAGAGATGGGAAACGGCTTGTTGGCAATCATGAACACGACGTTTGGTAGACTACTAATTTCGTTGCAATTGATGAAGTACTGAAAGTAGAAGAATGATCATTTTAATGCGATCAACTTATTTCCAGTGGAGTCCCTTGATAGAAAATGTGGAAGGGCGAGAGTTAAACAACAAGCTTTTTTTGCAGAATTCTAAAACAAGACTTCTATTTACGAATAGCAGACTTTGCCAAAATAAAAATATTGTAAATCGCCTATTTTCAATCTTTCGGTCACACACGCATGCAAAACACAAGTATATTTGTATTTGTAATGCATTATATTTGTACATGTGTGTATAATCATTATTAGTGTATGCAGGGCCCCCATGGAAACCAGTTTTAAACTGTTTGGGCACACCCGGTAAAAAATGCAATAAAGAAGCGATGGGACACCAAAAATCAATGCTAACAACTGTTGCAGTTATGGACGTTTGTTCCCCAACAAACTGCAGCATTATAATTTTGATGTCAGTTAGTCTTTTCCTTTGTCGTATAAAACTAATAAAAGATGTCACCTCTCCGTAGTTTAAGTAAACTCACCAGCTGCTGCTGTGGGTTGTATACTGCACCCAATTGGTCATTGATTTCCTTGATCATCTTAGACGGTCCAACGATCAGTGAAGTACCGGTGTCTGCGATAGCCTGACAACCCGATTCGCAGGTAACAGGAGCCCCTTTGATGTCAATGCTTAACGCAAAAGCAAAAAAGAAGGGCGTGTTGAGATTAATTACTACATTTTCTTCTAAATTTATTTTTGTTCATTAAGGGAGAACAACGAAGATAATGCAAATTACGAAAAACAATGTTGAGTTGTTCTAGAAAGCAAAAACAAAATCAATGTTAATCATTATTATAAAAGCTCACCCGTCTACACCGAATTGCCAGTACATTTTCTGGCTTACAGGTACGTAGGTGAATTCACCCGTATAATGACTGGGGTCTGATCCACCGAGAACAAGCTCTCCACCTCTGGTACCGTTATCGTTCCTGCAGTCGAAGAATTGTTACTGATTAGTATGGCTGGTCAGAATTGGTTTCTCAATAATAATAATGCTTACTTGTAATGCTCCATGTCTGTGACAAAGTGACACTCCTGACGCAGAAAAGATCCCTCTTACTTTGCTGTCATCCGAGGGAAACATATCCAAATTAAACAATGGTGATACATATTAATGAAAGAGATAGTAGTTGAGTTGATTCTTGAATGTGAAGTAGGAAGTCTCCTTTCTCAGTTTAATGGGTAATGAGTTCTACAGGGAAGGACCGGTTAGGGAGAAAGATCGGTTTCCCCATATAGGCCAGGAGTGATGTGAGCGGGGTACTCGAAGAAGATTTGCGTCGGAGGAAAAAAGGCGTCGGTATAGATCATGGCGTTGTACTCTTGGACGTAGGTGGGTGTCTTGTGCCATGGAGAGAGCCGAAGACCAGGACAAAGATCTTGAAGATTACTTGTTCGATAATATCTCTTCGTTCGCCAGAATGACGGATATCAACTTCACAGTTTATCTATGTAAGCACTACACAATGCACCCACGCACGAACAAGACGACTTAAAAATTCTGGGTTTTCTTAGGTAGTATTAGAAATTATGTCGTGCGTACTTTGCGCCATGCATACATGTGAATATGGATATATATGTATGTGCCATACTTACACGCTCAGGAAAAACGAAAAGATTGGCTTTGAAACGAGTCCCTCTTCAATCATCTTATTGAACACCGGTGTGACTCCGCCTACAGCCAAGCCAGGATAGGCCATACCAAACAGACCATCTATTGGTACTTCCGGGTAAGCAAAATCTTTGCTCATGTAGGTTGCCTCCCCGAACGTTGTACCAACCACGTTAAGTTCATCCACCTACTCGAAATAAATAGAAGCATGTCACACTTATTATGTTAAAACTTTCGTTTGAGTTATTTTCCCAATAAGGAAAGTCATGTTGGAGTAGCGGCACTTTCCTCGCCTTCCACCGCATGTGAAAATTCCTGCCTGGGCTGATTTAAGGAAGATTTGAGGCTTTGTATGGTGGAGAAACTAATGCATTAGTTTCTCCACCATTATAATGAATGAAAGGTTTGCGGAAACACCATGTGCGAATGATTTCTCAACTAAAAGAATGGTTCTGAAAAGAACCAGAGGTATAAACTCGACGTTCCGGGCTAATTTGTCGATTGGGTTTTCAGTCCCTACTTGATTCAGTGGGGTTTCCCGAGAATATTCTTCTGGGTTTTTCTTCCCTCGTCTAAAACTGTTATTTTTTCACACACATTGTCTTCACTTTACTGGGCTTCGTGGGAGACTGGTGGATTCCACTGAATGTGCTACCCATTTAAAATAAGACTTAAAAACAACAACAAAAAATATGATCGGAGAGGAGGGGTGGCGTTTGCAGCCCTCTTTTCAGCCGCTGACTAATGTCATGATACTAGTGAAATGGGGCTAAAAATAATAAAGGGAATGCTAAAATTCCTAAATCTATTTCCAAATTGCCTTAGAGTGCATGAGAAAGTATCGTAGATTTCACAATTCTTCGAGGGCATGACCCGGACCCCCTATAACAGGGCGTGTCTTTGGCACGCCTTCAATCAACCCATTCATATCATCCCCCACCCGTTTCCTGAATGCCACTCTCCTGCTGTTTACTTCAACGAGCCATTTACATTTTGACCCAACGAAACAAGACAAAGATTGCCCAATTTTTCTTCAAAACAAAGCATTATCTACCATTGTTTACAAGTAGTTGATTATTTTTTTTTCTGATGATATCCATTGAAAACAGGTCGTACAACAACTTTCAAGATCTTCTTACCCGAACTACATCCGTACTTAAGAAGGCAGTTACGTTTCCTGTTCCATATAGGAGATGGATTACAGTACCGTTTGGTCGATAGGTGGAGGACATGGAGTGATTGTACTTGTGATGATGTGCTACAAAGATATAAAAAAAGTTGTTAAACGGCGCATCCGGCCTAAAAAGGAGTACTGGTAACAATTTGTCTGTTGTGACCTTTATCTCTATTCACTATCTTTATTAAGTGATTTACTTCGGGAAACGTTGTTATCCATATTTGCTTTACAGTCGAAACGTTCAATTGAAAAACTTAAACATCAGCCCTAAATTTATAGTGTTCAGATGTACAGTGTGAGTAAAAAAAACCCAATACACTTTTAGAATTGGTCATAGTTTTATTCTGTAGCAATATAGATGAGATATTTTCATATGTAGCCTACTTTTACAGTAACTCTTCCTGCTTTTTTTGGTGACATTTTCACTGGATTAGTTTTGATGCATGACTGCACAGGAGACAATTAAAGGTGTCGGGTGAAATCTGACTTGCGCCAACTGGTCAGGGCTGGATAAGAAAGAAACAGTTTAAGAGAACACAACCATTGTCTAACAAAGAGACAAAACAGGATTTAATTAGATTTTAAACTTCGTGTTTATTTGAAACATTTAAATTAAATTAAAAAGCAATTAAATTCCACGGTGTCCTAGTCCTCAACATGGCCACCATCTCGTTGAATGCACAGCTGGGCTCGGCGCATCATTCCTGCAACAGCACGGCGAATCACCTCCCTGTCTTGTCTGAGAATGTCAAATTGCACGAGTTATCCTTTCCTGGAGGTCATCCACATTTGCCTACTGAACTCTTGCAAGCAATATTCACAAATCTGAACTGATTATGCATTCCATGACCAGAACCAAGATAATGGTTTGTGTTCTTTTAAATTGTCTCATTCTTATCCAGCCCTGACCAGTTGGCGCAAGTCAGATTTCACCCAACCCCTTTAATTGTCTCATGTGCAGTCATGCATGAAAACTAATCCAGTGCAAATGTCACCAAAAGAAGCAGGAAGAGTTACTCTAAAAGTACATATGAAAATATCTTATCTATATTGCTACAGAATAAAACTATGGCCAATTTTAAAAGTGTAAAGTGTTTTTTTGACTTACACTGTATAGTGCCTCTAGGCAACTACGAAACCCGTTAGTACTTCGTTTGGCTTGAATCCTTCTATACAGAACTTGCTAATAGTCTAAGATATATTTTTGGAAATACTTACGACATCCAGGTGCCGTGTCAGGACACAACACAGAAGGCACCCACAGGTTGGACGAGCCCGTGTCGAAAGTGACAAGAAACGGTTGGGAGGCGTACCGATGCTAATCGGACCGTAATATAAAAACTAAATGAAAATTATATAAAATGTTGTTATTGAGGTAATTAAATAATTTCCCGATTTTTTTTTTTGGGGGGGGTGTCCGTTATAGTAACTCTGAAGTGCAGTTAAATTTACAAGTTATAGAGGATGCGCCAAAATGTCAAAGGAAATGGATGAATAAACAATCAGTATAAAAATCCGGAATTTAAAATAAATAAACAAGAACCTGCAGAAGGGTAAAGTCTAAACAATCACAACTTACTTCGTTGTCATTTCTCAGTGGTTCAGGATCCCTTAGAAAGTTGCGGAAACGTCTTGTGACTGACGTCAGAGGGCGCTGCAGGCGCTTTAAGGGTATTCTGTTTGAATTTATAGAAAGGAGTAAAAACAATTTGAAAACAATCGTGCTGAACTTTTCGAAGCAGTCACAATCAAGACTTTGACAGAAAGGCCCGTGTTTCTTGAGCGATCAGTTTGGAAACACATCCTTGACAAATCAGAAGCAAGTAAGAGTTTACAAAATACACATCGATGACGCAATATTAATACTGCACTATCAATGAGGTATCAGGTGCAAGCCTGTGACATTGTAGAATTAATCAATAAATGTTTTTTTTACCTTAAAAAGACGTATTAATCAATCGCTGCAACATTGACATTACAATTTCCAGGCCACATTTGCGCAAATGATGACAACGAGGCATATGTAAACCAGCAATTAATTAATTTCGAGAATCGCGTCCTTCAACGCACTTCATACTATTTTACAATTGATTTGAATATTGTCGTAAACTATTATTACCCAATTGCGAAGGCCGTATATATATTTTTGCCAATCTGGACAGTTATTGAACAATTTTAACATGAGGCTGGTGGGATGTGTTGCAGTGCACGGTTTGAAAGATTAACAAACGATCCAAATAAATGGGTAGAATTGCTTTACAATCTAAATTAATTACAATTTCAAGTAATTTTGATTTCATCAAGGGAAAACACATGCAGAGAACTCCGGTCTGATCTATCTTACCTTATCACTCCATCCTCACCCTGTGTTGTGTGCAAGAAGCACATCACACCAAAGTACACCAGGAACACTAACGCTGCCCTCATGATGATGTTGAAACTACGAACTCGCCAATTTGAAAACCTGAACCGAATATGAAAGATTTCGGTACGGTTGCTTTTTATAATAAACTTGAAATCGCAAGGTAAACAAAATGCAGATCAAAGATCAATGAGCATAGATCAGCCCGCCCATACAGTCCAGGCTCTCAAAGAAGAACAAACATCATTAAACCGTGGAGTATTTGTATTATCAAAGCGTTCTGTGGGTACTTCCTTATAGTTGAAAGAGAACACTAAAATACGAAAATTCTAAATAAAGACAGCCGCATTGCGTCAGTTCAGAGTTGCTTTCACGTGACTCAGTTTTTTTCCTAAATGGGTCACGAGGAGACCATCATTATAGACTCGTGATTATGCACGTGTCTGATCATGAAATCAGAGGGATTGCACACATCGAAGTGCAAAGTCATGTGTAGGTCACAAACTTTCTTCCATAGGCCTATGCATGTGGCTCTGAAATAAGAACTAGCTGTTTATACCTCCATTTTGGGTGATTATTTGACCAAACCACATCTATAAAATTTTGATGCTAATGCACATTGCTGTGCCAGATTTTAAAAAAACACGCAAAATATAATTTAAAAAGCAACCTTTTCCCCGAGCCGCTTACGTATCCCGTACGAGTATTATTATTTCTAATGGTCTTTGCTCATGAGATTCACCCGAAGCGTCATTTGGACCTTATCCGTCGACGATGCTAAGGCGCAGTCAGAGCGCAGCCTGTGCAAAAGCCGTCCCTTTTCTTTGCTATGTATGCACGATCCGTTATCCGAATCTAAAATTAAATGGGACGTCTTATTTTGTAAATCTTATGGCATCCAAACTTGTCTTTAAATTTTCAAATTTACTCTTTGAAATGTATCTATATAAGATGCTATATTTATACTTCGCTGCGAGTAATTAATCTTTGCTTAAGTTTTTTTGGGGAAAAAAAACGAACAAAAAAGACCTTCGCGAAAGTGAAAAAAAGATAGACAAACTTCAGCTTACACCGGCCTGAAACACACACCGGCAGAACTTCTACACTAATCGACAGAAAGAACCACTCATCTTCTTTCTCAAAATCATGTTTTTAAATCCCAAACCTTTGCGAAACAGTTAAGTGTACTCAAACATTTTGTTTGTGCACTTTCAACTTTCGCGAATAAAACATGTCTGGCGGGTTCCATGGCCATGCAAGCTAGCATAATGACTGGCTCCCTGCTACACTTGTCCCGAACGTCAACTAATCAGACACCCGATAAGAGATTCTTATTCTGACAAAGTGTATGGCGGATTTCCACATTCTGCCGTATTATTGCCATGAATTCTACCATTATATTTAAGTGCCGGACTGAATAACGATTCAGATAGTAACTAAAGGGTGCATCCCTGTATTAAAATTCCCATAGACAGCAATGATAAATGCCCACACTCCACAATTCTTTAAAAAAATACTCAAAACTCTCACGTACAGGTGATCACGATCTACAGAAAAATGATGACTGATCAACATGTCATCTTTCAATTTTTTTTGGTGGGTCACCAGTGATTTTTTTGAGACATTCTCACCCAAAAAAGAACACCCCTTAAACGAATGATGTTTCCCAAACTGGAAAAGTAGACATTTTTAAAAAGGATTATCCCTCCACAACATGGCTAAATAGCGCCACTTTCGGGCCCAATTGCATCCAAATTTTTCAGAATTGGAAGCTCCAAGTCCAGGCCAGAGGTTTAGTGCCACATGTCTTCAATTACTCAATTCCTTGGCTCTCAGAACTCTCTAATGTAGAATATTTTGAGGGTATAACTTTCATTCATGAGCTCGGCAGATGGATTTTTTTTGCCTATTGACTGGTGTGCATCCATACCATGTGCTTTAAAATTCACATTTCACCACTTTACTGTCAATGGTTAATATGGTATGGGATTATTTAATACTCAAAATAAATAGTGAAACTAAACAAGGGAGAAAATGGTGTCTTTCAGTCATTTCCCCAACAAGCCTAAGCATTATTTCCTCTATACAGGGTGAGTCAAAAAAGGGGAACCCAAACCCCCAAAATATATTTCATATTGAAGTATATCACCATTTAAACCCAATGACCCTAAAACCTCTTTTGTCCAAAATGCGATTTTAAGAATCGTCGTCACAATTGTCTCCATACTTCACCAGCGATAAAACCTCAGTTTAAAAGTTAAAAATATTCAACAAAGTCCTTTTGAAGGACCGTCTTTTGAAACACTACAGAATTAAACTGCCATAACTTTTGAAATTGGCAATTAAAATTGTTCAAACTTTCAGAAAATATTTCTGATGAAATGTTATTGATGTTTACCAATTATAGGGTAGTAACCCAATAATGAGAGCTTGGTGGTTGCAATGAACGTTTGAAATGACCTTGCGGAGTGCACTTATCATGCGTGTACATTGCATTCACCCGTGTGCGTGTTGAGATTTCTTCCCGTGCACACAAAGCTGGTTTTCTCGTAATACAATTTTTTATCGGTGGGGAAATGTTAGGGTCAGAATCACTTTTCATGGGATTATAGGGAGGAATACACAATATAAACTATATGTCATTAGAAAGCTGAATAACTGGAGAATTTAGAAAATACCAAAACCTCATTTTTTGGGGGGCTACTTTGTCCGGGTTTCGTGTAGTCTAAGTATCACCCGTTATCTACGGAGTTAGTCTCCCGTATAACGTCTGATATATCAATGCATGCAGATTTATGATATCTCGCGCCTCAGCCAATTGGGGTCGACTTTACTAAATCGTGGCGCCATTTCATTCCCAAATCTGGACTAAAAAGCAGTGTTTTGTAATAAAACAACACCCTCTGTTGCTGTATCTAGGTTTTTTCTTATCAATATCTATGACGCGACAACAGTGAAGGATGGAAGACCCAATATAGAAAGCGCCCGCTGATTGGTCAAAATGTAGAGGTCAGTATGCAGTTTTCTTGCATGATTAGTCAGCGAATCTGCCCAAATTTTGTAGACCATCGCTCCGCCATGGTCTAAGACATAGACTGTAGGTTTCTTGGTGACAGGTCACAAATACACAAGACAATAAATTAACAGCGTGTGGGTGCTTCGTAGCTTTTGCTACCATCAATTTCTTCCAAAAGGGCGTCCTACACAATCACTGGTGAGCAAGACTTTGTATTATGCAGATGACGATCTGCCTATTAAACAAACAATAAAACAATCTTTTTGTACATAGTAACTGCACTAGAATAACACCTTGCATTTAATTGAAATTGCGTCCGATTATTGGCCATGGTATTTTACACAAATTTGAAATTTAAAAAATTGATGAGAACCGTAGGGTTCCAGAATTAAGTCAACATGATTTACGAAAATATGTTTTTTAATCATCAAAAATTCATTCTGAATCTAACTCACTTTTTATTGAACAAAACTAAACACTCTTTCTAGAGACAATAACTGCAGATTAACACATCGCATTGGGTTGAAATTGCGTGCGACTATTCGCCAAGATTTTTGACACTGAAAGTAAGGATATTTACAGTGGAAGAACAAATTAAATATGATTTAAAGAAAATTTTGTTTTTTAGTCGCATTGTAATTAAGTCACAGTTAATTGAGTTAAAAAAACACACTGTTTATTGAGACAATAACTCCAATAATAGATATTGATATGAAAATATTGTTCGATAATTAGTCGTGACGTAATGACATAGAAAACCTCGACCGGAGCCTTCATGGAAAAAAAACCACATGACAATAAAGCAACAGAGTGTGGACGCTCCGTACATCATAATTTCTTCCATAAGTTTCTTCCTAAACGGGACGTCCTACGGTACTACACAAACTCTGGCCAGCACCGTAAAGACTTCTGTTAATGCGGATCACGATATGCCCATTAAACAAAAATAAGACACTCTTTCAGGAGACATTATCTGCAGTATAACACCTAACATAAAATTAAAATTACGTCCTATAATTGGCCATGATATTCGCACATGCTTGAAACTTCACGAGAACCATGGAAAAAATATTCATTATGGAATAAAAAAAGTGTTTTTACCGTGAAAAAAATCATTCCGAATTGGAATCATGGAATCACGGTATGCCCAAGAAACAAAACTAAATCAATTTTTTTCTGGAGACAATTACTGAAGAATGTTTGCGAAAATCATCCAATTATTGGCCGTGATGTCTGATATCAGAATTTGAAAAATTTACTGAAAGAAAATCCAGTGTAGTTAAATCGCAAAAATCTTAATCCGAATTAAATTCACCTTTAATTGAAAACGAGAAAGTTAAGAAAACACATTCCAGTCATTAATCATGATACAGGGTGAGTCAAAAAAAGCGGAACCCAAATCCCCAAAAATATATTTCATATTTAAAAATTTTTTTTGTAGCACTAAAATAATAATGACTTGAAAGCCATTTTCAAAAGCTACTTTTCGATGAAAAAATACTGAAATTGCTCAATCCGTTCAAAGAATATCACCATTTAAACTTAATGACCCTACAACCTGTCTCGTCCAAAAAGAAAAAGCAATTTATTGCTTGTTTCCACAACTGTCACCAACTGAAGTACACAATATCAACCCTGGTAATGGCAAACAATATGGTTTATAAAATCTACTTTTTTAAAAGGCGAGCCTTCAAAAGGATTTTGTTGCATATTGTTTACGTTTAAACTAAGATTTCATCGCGGGTGATGTTTGAAGACAATTGTGAAGACGATTGTTGAAATTGCATTTTTTTTGAACGACACAGGTTTTAGGATCATTGTGTTTAAATGGTGATATTCTTTGAACGGTTGACCAATTTCAGTAATTTTTTTCATCTAAAAGAGGCTTATGAAATTGGCTTTCCAGTCATTATTTTGGGTGCTACATATTTTCTGAAATATGAAATATAATTTTGGGGTTTGGGTTCCGCTTGTTTTGACACACCCTGTATGTTAGTATTTTACATGATGAAATCATTACAAACACGATAAGCTTACACTTTATATGAACTAAAGTTACTGAGTAGTCAAATATTAGATGGAAATAAATCAAACAGTCACTACCTGTAGGTACGAAGACAAAAAGTACTTACGGTCTGTACAACAGGTTCTCCCTTTAGCAAAGAAAGTAGGAGTCAACACGACGAGGGGGGCACTGCAATAGCTGTGAACTGAAGGCATCCGGCGCTGCGCGCTGTTGCTGTAGTCAAGCGGGTGATTGATTTTAAAAAATGGAGCGCATTTCTATCCTCCGGCACATACGAATCCTGACACAAAGCACCCACTCAAGCATCACAAACAAAATTCCAACCACTTGCAGACCATGGCTAAACAGGACTTTAGACCTTTTGAAGTCTGGAAAGGGTTTATTTTCTCAACCGTGACACCCTGAAATCGTTGAGAAATTTGGTTTGTTTTTACTTGTAGGCGTCATCTGAAATTTAAGAGGATCAATGTATTGATTGGGTTGAAAAAGCGGAGTGCCAAAAATAATAACTACCTTAATTTTAATTACGTGTTGTTCAATTTATGTTTTTTTTTGGCGGGGAGAGGAGGGAGCTGCTTTAACATTTAAAGAAAAAACTCTGTAGGGGTAATTTTGTTGTTGAAATACAGTACAATTGTTAGGATTTCATTGTTAAAACAGTCAATCATCCAAGCCCAATCTTCCCAAATATTTTGCCCAATAAAACTGACAATGTAAGTGATACATCTAGGCCTACATGATAATCTGCTTATGTTATGGGTTACGCAAATGCTGATTACTGAATTGAGCATGCAAATCCAAAGTTCATCACCTTTAGGATATTTTTGACGAGTTATCAGAATATTTGATTGTTACAACCAGGAAAATTTCAACCTTGGCTGTAACGTAAATTAGACCATCGTAGTCTGGAGAGGGTTTAATTTCTTGACTCTGACACCCTTAAAGCATGACAAATTTGGTTTCTTTTTACTTGTAGGTTTGGATGTAGTTTGCAATTCACGTAATTTTAACCTTTCTTTTAGTGCCAGAAGTGGACGTCGATCCATGAATGGTCTATGTAATTGGAAGAAAATGAAGGATTTAATTGTTCTCAGGGACACAATTTTTTTTTTCAATTTTAAAAGAAATATAGAATTGGAAATATGAACAACCATAGAAATTCCTTAAACATATAGCACCCCTCCGCTCTGACACCCCCCCCCAAATAATGGTGATAATGTGCGCTCCGTTTTGCTACCGTCGATTTCTTCCAAAAGAGGGCGTCCTACACAAACGCTGGTCGTCACCTTGAAGACTTTTGTATAATGCAGATGACAATCTGCCTATTAAAACGATCAATAACACATTTTTTAGACATAATGACTGAAGAATAACAAATCCCATTATATTGAAAACTGTGTCCGATTATTGCCCATGATATTTTACACAAGTTTGGAAATTGACGAGAACGATTCCGGAATAAATTTAATATGATTTACGAAAATATGGTGTTCAAGTTAATCACGAAAAATTCGTAGCGAAAATAAGTCACTTTTTATTGAACAAAAATAGAACACTCTTTCTAGAGACAATAACTGCACAATAACACATCACATTTTTTACACAGAAAGTAAGAAACTTGACAGGAACAGAAGAATAAAATAATGTAATGTCATTTAAAGAAAATTTAGTGTTGTGATCGCAAAAACAATTGATTGCGAATTAAAGTCACTTTTAATTGAATTAAAGTAACACGCTATTTATGGAGACAATAACTCCACAATAATAGATATTGATATGAAAATATCGTTCGATAATTAGTCGTCATGTAATGACATAAAAAATACCTAGACGGAAACAGTGGAGGAAAAAAATACACATTAAAGCAAAAAGTCTCGACGCTACGTACATCGTACTTGCTTTCATCAATTTCCTTCAAACGAGGAAGACCTCTGTCAATGTGCGCGCCACGATGTGCCCATTTTACAAAAATACGACACTCTTTCTGGAGATAATACTGCAGAATAACACATCGCATATGATGACAATTGCGTCGCATTATCGGGCCGTGATATTTGACGCAACATGATTGAAAATTGAAGACTGAGAACCTTGGGAAAATATTATTCAATATGATTGAAAGAAAGCAGCATTTTTATCGTGAAAAAAAATCTTTCTGAATTGGAATCACTTTGGAATGAAATGTTTAATATTTAGTCGCAATTCAATGATTTAAAAAACAAAATAGACGGAAATCTTGAACGAAAACATAACCACTCTTTGTTGATGATGCCGACATCTTAAGGAAAATGCATTGAATTGAATTGAAATTTTGACCACTAATTGTTCATGATATATAACAAAATGGTTTTGAAAAAAAATTGACGGGAACCGTAAGACAAAATAAATGCTACAATAAAAACTACAGCGTGTAAGCACACTCATGTCATCAGTTTCTTCCAACAGAGGGTGCACTACTAAGTATAAAAAGGTCATACTTTAGATCCATAATAACACTGTTGTTTTCAAATGGAGTTAAACTAAAATTTTAGATGATGTACACAAGGAATTACATTTTTTGAGCGATTTTCATCAGTTTTGTTTATACGAGAATGTAAGATTTAAACGCCATCCAAAAATACTCACTTTCATTATTTGCTACAGTTGACTTGGCGTCCCCAAGTGTCCACGCAGTGCTGGAAACCAAGCTGAAGCTCGTGCTGGTTTGAAGCTTCTGGAGGAGACAATCCAGGAGGTGTGCAAAATAGTGTACTAATCGCGAAAATTCCAATTGGAATGAAAGTCACTTTTAACTGGAGACAATAAATGAGGAAAACCCATTCGAATACTTTGATCATGATATTATAACATAAAAAGATTGTAACAAATTGACGGGAACCGTGGCAAACCAAAAAACATTGCAACAATAAGAACTAGACTATGTTACCACCATCAATCTAATCGTCAATGCGGACCGTGACATGCCCAATGGTCATAGCCATTAAGCTCGAAATAGAATAAAAGCAATTCCCAGTCATAATCACAAATTGTTAACTTTTTTATGTCACCAAGTCAATGCAGGCGCGGTTCTAGAACCAATATTGGGGGGGGGGGGGGGCTAGCACGGTGGATCCAGACTTCCACTAGGATTGTATTTGTTGCAAATAAAATCCTGTATTGTTACGGTCATAATAGCTTCATTAATTGACGGTTTTTATGAAATGAAATCTTTTGATGCCAAACATCATGACAAATGAGTGTACGAAAATTCATTTTAATGTAACGTGTATTTCTTGAGTTGTTTGCCCCAAATTGGGTTTGGTGGTGGAGATCGAGACCACTATAATAGAGGGCGCGCGACACATAAGTGGTCTCGGCAACGCATCAACACGGATGCTGCACATTGGAAGAAAAAGAACAACCTCGTTTCCGATGAACTACTCAAGAAATACAAAATGGATTAAATTGAAATTTCGTGCAATTGGTTTTGACGATGTGTAGCATGAGTAGTTTGAATGGCGTGAGAAACTGAGGAGCTATAAATATAATATGATCTAAACAATTAAGTGTTTTAAACGTTAAAAATCCATGTTGACTTCCATTAGGATTGTATGTGTCGCAATTAAAAACTCTGTATTGTTACTTTTATAATAGCTTGATTATTTGTCGTTAAAAAAATAATAATAAAGATCATGACGAATGAGTGTACGAAAATTCATTTAAAAGTAACGTGTATTTCTTGAGTTATTGGCCCCAAATTGAGTTTGGTGGTAGAGACCGAGACCACTATAATAGAGGGCGCACCACATAAATAGTTCTTAAATTATATTACATTCGTTCTTCGGCGGTTCCTGTCAAGTTTCTAGAATTTCATGTCAAGTACCATGACGAAATATTACAGGAAATGTCATTGCAATACAATGTGTTTATCTTGAGTTCCCAATTTCACAATAACTGTGTTGACATGACGAGAAAATACGGAGTGTCCTTCATACTGCAATTTCCTTAAACTAAAATTATAGATGATGTACACGAGGAATTAGCTTATTGAGCGATTTTCTTCAGTTTTGTTTATACGAGAAGGTAAGATTTAGACGCCATCCAAACAATACTCACTTTCAGAATTTGCTACAGTTGACTTGGCGTCCCAAATGTCCATGCAGCGCTGGAAACCAAGCTGAAGCCCGTGCTGATTTCAAGCTTCTGGAGGAATGCAGAATCACTTCTGGTGTCGTTGCAAATGATCTAGGACAATCCAGGAGGTGTGCAAACAAGTGTATTAATTAAAATTCCGATTCGAATGAAAGTCACTTTTAATTGGAGACAATGAATGAAGAAAACACATTTCAATATTTGATCATAATAATTATAACAAAAAGATGGTAACAAATTACGGAAACCGTGGCAAACAAAAAACATTGCGACAATAAAAACTAGATTATGTTACCACCATAAAATCTAATCGTCAATGCCGACCCTGACATGCCCAATTAAGGTCATAAACATTGAGCTCGAAATAGAAGAAAAATAATTCCCAGTCATAATCACAAAATGTTATCTTTTTTATGTCACCGAGTTAATGACAAACGAAAGAGTCCCAAAGTGCAAGAAGGAACTTACAGTCTATACAAAAGGTTCGCCCTTTAGCAAAGGAAGTCGTAGTCGACACGACGAGGGTGACACTGCAATAGCTGTGAACTGAAGGCATCCGCCGCTGCTGTTGCTGTTGTCAAGCGGATGACTGGTTCGAATAATGGAACGTATTTATATGGATCCTAACACAAAGCACCCACTAGAGCATCACAATACAAATTCCTACTATTTACTGATCATGGCTTTAACTGACCTTAGAGTTTTTGAAGTCAGGAAATGATTATTTACCCGACTGTGACTTCAAAATTTGGTTGGTTTGGGTAAAGTGCCAAAAATAATATCTAGCGTAATTAAATATGTGTTGTTCCATCATTTTTTTTTGGCGGGAGGGGATGGAACTGCTTTAGCTTCTTAAAAACTGCCAAATGGGCACCATTTTGGTTGAAATACAGTACTTTGTTAAGATTTCGTTGCGAGGACAGTCACTCTTCCAAGCCAAATATTCCCTGATAATTTACTTAGTCTCCCTATCAGAACTGTAAATGTAAGTCCCCACCTTCCAATACTTTTTAACTCAACAACTACTGAGCACCTCTGGCTAAACTAACGACTAATCAGTACAGAAATTCCTTAGCATTTCAGCCATACTCTCTTTTATGCCCAAAACAGTGCTAATGTGTGCGAATTTATACAA